TTAACTTCCCGTGTATTGTAACAAATTAGTATTTATCTCTCTCTCTCTCTCTCTCTCTCTCTATATATATATATATATTAGATTATAGATAGATACAGATATAGATATTCTCTGCCCACTGTCTGCCCTGGATAAGATCTTGGCCAGATCCTCAGGAGATGTAAATCAATGTAGCTCCATAGTCAATTTTCTTTCCTCTACATATTGATGGAAATGCTCACAACTGTGTTGTTTGCCTGTGGATGTGAGCACCTGGGATATATACCATTGGTTTCCTTTCTTGTAGTAGCACATTGCTAAATCCTCACTGAACACCTGAACTGTTAACCCTCTAGTTATATCATAGTATACCAATATGCCTGCACTAGTAGGTTAATTGATTCATTTTGATGAAGATAGTTCCGGTTAATCATCTTTCTTTAGGAGAACGCTTGGTGGGGCCAAGGTTTTCCACAAATTGTGGTAGAAACTTGGCAAGGTGATTTGCCATCCCCAATATATTTCCAGGTAAGCATGATTCTCATCCTCAGAAATGAATGCCACTTTTTTGCATTGTTGGTCTTGATAAACTCGTGAGACAAAGTAATCAATATACTGTACTTCAGCTGGTTTTATGATGCATTTGTCCAGATTTCACTTGACCCCTTTTCCCTAGATCTCTGGAGCATGGCATGTAGATTTACTTCAAACATCAATATATTATCCACAATGGCTGCAAGTGCACCAAGCCTAGCTTAGACTCATAGGGTGAAATCCTGGCTCCATTGAAGTCAATGGGCATTTTGCTATTTACTTCAGTTGAACCAGGATTTCACCCACTTTTAAGGCCAGAATGAACCATTGTGATCATCTGGTGCAGAGGTGGCCAACCTGAGCCTGAGAAGGAGCCAGAATCTACCAATGTACATTGCTAAAGAGCCACAGTAATACATTAGCAGTCCCCCAGCAGCTCCCACCCTTTGGCAGCTCTGCCAATCAGTGCCTCCCTGCACCTCCGGATCAGCCATTTTGTGGCGTGCAGGAGGCTTTGGGGGGGAGGAGGGAGGTGTGAGGGCATGGTAGGCTCAGGGGAGGGGGCGGGAAGAGGTGGAGTGGGGACAGGGCCTGTGGCAGAGCCAGGGGTTGAGCAGTGAGCATCCCCCTGGCACATTGGAAAGTTGGCGCCAATAGCTCCAACCCCGGAGTCAGTTCCTATACAAGGAATGGCATATTAACTTCTGAAGAGCCACATGTGACAGTGTACCCCATAAGGCTTTATGGGGAGGGGGTGCTTATAAATGTATGTATGACATA